TAACAACTAAAAAACTCCGAAGGATTTTAAGGTTTATGCTTAAGGTTATGTTTTGTAAACCTAGCTGATAAACTACCTTATAGCTTTTAAATGAATTTCGAGCTTATAGCTGATGAGCTTATGACTTATGGCTGAAAAGGTAGCTTATATGAAAAAAGTTTTTTGTAAAATTAGTTGAAATAAAAATTCCAATGAGTTTATTTGAAAAGCTACCCAAAGAAAGCTTATGAGATAAGCTCAAGCTTTTTAAAATAGTTCATCCTACCAACCTAAGCTTATTTGAATAAAAAAAACTTATAAGCTAATCAAATAAGCTATTAGTTAGCTTATATACTTACAAAACAGAGTTTAATATGACAATTGAGCATGAGCATTTTTGTGCAGGCACTAAATTTCGAGGAGGCAAAATTTAAGGCTTTTGATCTTGCTTCGAAGCCCGAAGGAACCGGGACGCCAACCAAGGATTTTAAGGATCTGTTTTCCCAAATCACCACTAAGTTCTGATTCATGGGCTCTGATGATAAGTATATCAATTTTTTTTTTTTCTAATGTATTTCCAGTTATATGAGACTGATATTCTGCAATAATGCCTGGAAACTTTGAAACTCCAAAGACCCTTGTCTCTGTTATGAATGAATAAGTCAGAAATACTTTGATCAGGGTTGAATTTGTTCGTTTATGTCGATGGATAAAAAGTAATGCTAATTATGAAATGTGTAAAATAAAAAAGTTCGTGTATTTGCCCGTTCAAGGCCCTCTTGAGGCCGGGACCAAATACAGAGAGATCTGAAATCGAAACTACTGAGACATGAAAATTCAGATATTACTTCATAAAATCTAAAAAAAAATTGCAGAACTGGACAAACTGGCAAAAAAAAGTAATAGTTATTCATTGAAGAAATAAGAAATTTAAGAATTAATCGTTTGTAAGCTAGAAATTACCCATTTTTGCAGTTTCATGATGAGATATTATGGTGTATATTGTTAAATTTTAACCCTGATCCAACTTATGTATTTTCTGAGTGCAAATATGTTAAAAGTTTTGCCAAAACATCTGATATAATTAGGTATATTATATAGAATTCATGAATAATGATTGAAGATTGATGCATTCCAATATAGTTAGTTTTNNNCGAAATATTTTTTTATCGAATGCTAAAAACTTTGTCAATTGTCAGGTTTGGATTTGCGTTGCTGTCGATGCATATACGTGGTACCAATATAATGTCAATAATATATTGCATGTAATAAACTATGAAATTGGATTTGGATTTGCATGTGTGTCCCAATACTGTCAATTGTTTATTACATTAAATAAAATATTAAATTGGATATGGATTTCCATTTCTGTCCCATTATAGTACGTGTCAATTGGAGTAAAACTAGTGCAAATATTTTGTGATAATGAGTAAGAGATATTCATTAATATTTATAAACTAAAATTATTCATTAAATAATATTTATAAATTAAAAATATTTATTAAATAATATTTATAAATTTAAAATATATAATCAATATGTAATACAATTTACCTATATTAGCTTCTTGGAAATGTTATATGAAATTTACATTGTGCAAAATTACATAAAACATATCTATTTAAATTAGTACACAACTCGTATATTGCACGTAATTAATAATAAATTATATTATATCCATTTTAATATAGTCATTTAAAAAAAAATAGAAATTCGATTTGACTACAATGTGATTCCATAAAATAATTATTTTGATATAATTTAATCATATATTTAAAAATATATGTGAATAATAAGTATATTTATAAAACTAATATTGTTTCATTAATTAAAATAAATTTATTTTTCGTATTAGATAACCAAATCAAATATTCTAAGTAGTTGAGTAATTTGTCCCCTTCCTCTCATTTCTCTGTTTCAGAGTTCGTGGGAGGCCAACCGTCTCCGGAATTGGCTAGTGGTGATAGGCAATTTCGGGGCGATGCCGGATTGGCTAGTGGTGTTAGCCGGTTGGGGGTCGATTATGGTGTCTTGCGGTTGAGGTGCGGGTCGGTTACTCGGATTGTTTTGCGGCTTGGGTCATCGTCTTGCTATGCCTTATGCAGTGGCGGGCGTGGTATCAGAGCTTCGGAGCTCTCCTCGGAATCGGCTTTGTCTGCTGTTCTTTTTGGGTGTATCTGCTGAGGGAGGCTTTGTGTGTTTTAGTATGTAGTGTTTGTTTTCCGTATGTTCCGTTTGTTTGTTCTTGTTTTGTTTTGTGATGTTTATTATCCTGTTGGGACCGAACACTCGAGCATTACCCTGTTGGGGTCGTTTGTAATTTTCTAGTGTTTCAGTGTCGTTGTGTTTTTTGAGTTTTTAGATTACCCCGTTGGGGTCGGTTCTAGGCAGTCTTTTGGCTGTCCTCCCAGTTTTTCAGCTGTTGGCTGGTTGTATTCAGCCGTTGGCTGTATGTATTCAGCTAGGGGTTGTACTTTCGCACATTTGTACTTTTTTATATAATATCTCTATCGTTTCGAAAAAAAAAAAGTAGTTGAGTAATTTATTAAACTATAAATGACTATTCCATTTACGTCTAAGTTAATATTGACTTGTAAGTTATGAATAATTACTTATTTGACTTTTAAATTTGGAACCCAGATTTAGACTACATAATAAATTCCCTTATATATTTCATATATATATGTTATCTCCCAAATTTCTAGATGTTTTGTCGGTTACTTTATCATTCAAATTTATCAACTAATTATCTAGAATTAAATTACAAATTTAAATTTTATTAACCAATATTTGTTCAAAGATCTTTCTGATTTTCAAGAGGAACACGTCAATTTGCCGAATTATCATCAATATCTTATGACAAGTTATAATAAGAATATGTTAAAATTTGAGAATCATATCAGCTTGATTTTATAATAAATCAACCTAAAATTCGACTTTTATACTCATACCAAATAAAATTCATACCACTTATTTTGTTTACAAACTTTTCTAATACACTTCTATTCATACCAAATATATTTCTTATATACCATTTACTTTCAGACATTTCATACCAAAATAAAATCGCCCATTTTATAATATAAATTCCGACTCTATTAATAATAACACATTTCCTACCACAAATAAAATGGCCATCAGATCCCTCAAATAAAATCGTCCATTTTATACCAAACTCGGATTTATTTATTTTGTCAACTTTGTACCATAAATTGATTAATTAATTTCTAGAGGATAAATTTATAAAACAAATACCAAGTTTAGTAATTCTAAAATTTTTAGGCGGGATTTTAGTTTTTATTTCAAGTAAATACAAACATTTTTATATATATAGATTATGAATAATATTAAGAAGATTTTTCTGAATATTGTCCATTTTTATGTTATATGATGCTTAGGAAACAAAAGATGTAAATTATGAATTTACGTTAATAAACAAAAAATGCATAAAATAACATACTACGTGCTTTAAAGCAAAAGAAATAAATTTATCAACTAAAGTTCAATAAAATAATACTTACCTAAAATAGTTGCATCATTTGAATGGTGACAGCCGCCATATTTGACCAGAATGATTGGCCATCACTTTTCAAAATTATTTAAAAAGTTATTAATAAAAAAAATAAAAAATTTTAACGGGATTTTAGTTACTATTTCAGATAAATATAAACATTTCTATATATATAGACATAGATATAGATCCTAAAGTATATTTGAAAAGAAGAAATTTATAAAATCAATAAATTAACTTCTAAACATTATGAAGTGTATACTTTAAATTTTGAAGACTCCACTATATTGACAAACCTTAATTGGGGAGATCAATTTTTTGAAAAAGAAAAAAATCCAAAGCAATATTTTTTTTAGATTGACAAAGTTAGAGCATCTCCAATGGAGATTGTGATGTATAACATGGAGAAAGGCAATTAAATTTTTTTGTCTCCAATGGTTAGTGTTAATTGTAGTGTCATTTGTGATGTGTAAAATTGTAATTGGTTGGAGAAGAAAGATAAATTGAATAAATAATATAATATATAATAAAAGTTGTTTAGAAGGACTTCTACATCTAGAAAGCCTTCTAGACATTTTTCAGGCCACGTCAGATTTTTTATGTCATGTGGCAGCAATGGAAAGACCATTGGAGATGCTCTTACCATGTACACACCATTTAATTGTGGAATTAATTTTCGTTCTCAACAACGGATTATTTTCCATAAAAAATAATCACAAATAGATTATTTTCAAATATAAAATTTTTAATTAGGTAATTTATGAATAAGATACATAAATAATTCACAGAATCGTCAAACTTACATGAATTCCCCAGTTTTTTTCTCCAAAAAAAGCAAACATCACGAATTACATAATTTGTCAAGAAAAATACACAATAATTCATTGAATTTCTCGGAATTATATGCATTTTAGAATTTACCAAACAGAAACATGCATTTCTGATTTTACCCTCAAATTTTCAAAATAAATAAATAAATACTTATCATAATTTTTTCTCTCAAAATTCCAACTTTACAAAGTAGATAATTTCTTAACGAAAATATACAACTATTCATTGAATCTCTCAAAATTACATTCAATATAAGATTTAGTTATCAGATTTTTTTATCCAAAAACTCATTTTTTCAATTTTATATTTTGTTTCTTATCGGTGATCAAATAATTTGATTTAATTAGTTTTGTAAATAAATTATATTTTGAATTATAATTTCGTTGAAAGGTTAAATGAATTTAATAATTAATGCACAATATTTAAATTACTTTAAGTTGTTATTATGATAAAATGTTACTTTGAATGGATTGCTTTCAAAATAACGCGCACCATATTAATAAATTTAAAATTTTCTATATTATTTTAACAGAGTCAATAAAAATTCAAAAATGAAAATTTTAATGTCGCAGTATCAACACAATTTATCAATTTAGTCCACATATCTCATCAATATTTGTTGACCAAACACGCTTTATACATATCCACCATTTGGTAGAGGATGGCTCAAGGAATAATTGGGTGTATTTAAATTAAAAAAAATATTTAAATATATGAATGTTGCAGCTAAGTGATATTATTTACAGTGAATATGGAATGTTACGACTGTGATATATATTAAATGACGATCTTTATTTATATTGAAATTAATAGACAAATTTGTTTTCAAAATAAATAAAAATTACCCCAAAATAAAACCAAAATACTTTTGAAATTCGAAATTAAAACTCTATTGGGGGGATTATTTTGAATCTTTTCAAATTACCAAGATTAGTAATTTTAAAAATTTTAGGCGGGATTTTAGTTTCTATTTCGGGCAAATACAAACAGTTTTATATATATACTAGTGAGAATCTCGTGCGATGCACGGGGTTTCGTACCTTAGAATATTTTTTCAAAATTTTATTTTAATAATATATTAGCCCGTTGACCCAATTGTATTAATATAAATAATATTTTAACATATATATTTATTTTTAATACATAAAAATATTGATTTACATATTTTGGTTGATCATAATACTAAAATATTACGTTATTTAAAATATTATTGCCGTATAATGTCACAATTATTTATAACACTTATAGAAATAATATTTTTTATTT